GACCTATTATAAATAATACAACTACCGATGGCCCTGTGCGTACGGCGTTTGACACGTGCAAATATATCTGTAGGAGAGATTCCAGGCAGGATTGTGTTGGGAACGTGGAGAGAGGTCGTCCCTGTGCCAGGAGCATGTTATGCAGTTTCATCTTCGGTGAAATCTGCTAGAGGGGAAACACAATCTCACTGTACTTGTACGTTTTACTGGAATCGGTGGTGCTGGGGTGCAGACGGGTAGATCCCTGCTCCATCCGTGGCGCCCTCTCTCCCCCTCCCTCCCTTTCTCTGTCTCCTCCACAGACGGAAGCCCTGCAGCAGCTGCAGAAGGACTCCGAGGCCATCCGCGGCCAGTATGCTCACTACTTTGACCTCTCACTGGTCAATAACAGCGTCGATGAAACCCTTAAGAAATTGCAAGAAGCCTTTGACCGGGCATGCAGTTCTCCGCAGTGGGTGCCCGTCTCCTGGGTTTACTGAGCTTGCAGAACAGGGGGAACGACTACAGGCCCCTGTCGAGCCTTAGGAACTCCATTCCAGGATTGCCCCAGCTAGCTCTGTGTCAGCTTCCAGCTCTCTGCAACTATCCTCATGACCAGTGGGTATCCATCTTATTAAGGTTTCCGAAGGGCTGGGCTCTGACTTCCCTGATAGATGGGGCCCCGTGGATCAGGATTTCAAAAGGATCTCTGGAAATTGGGGTCCAGAAGTACTATCCAAACGCAGCTGCTGATCAAAGATGGTACACATGGGGAGGAAAAGCAGTGGACCCTGTCCCTCTGAAGCCTGCATTCCTTTACTTTCAATCACACTGGGCATTTCATTTGTCTTTGCTTTGAAGAAAGCTTTAACTGCAACTTTCTAAACTGCCAAATGAAACAGCTGTGCAATAGGATGAGGACTGCTCTAGCGAAACCCTCAAAAGCAATAAAAGTTTTGCTGTGTTAAAATAAAATGCCAATGACCTTGTACCTTTTAACTCTCTGGGTTTCCACCTGTGCCCCGAGCCTCAGGGAGCAGCTGCTGGAGGATGGTACCAACACCAGATGCCTCTGCTGGGTTCGCAAGTCTCCCTCAGGCTTGTGATGACCTTAAGCCTAGAGGTCAGTCAGGCTAAAAGCCTACGTGCACGTGGCTGGTGCCTGTGTGCTGGGCCAGGCATGTGCATGTGAACACATACGTGTGTGTAACATATAAAAACACTCTGGGGGCTTCCCTGGTGGCGCAGTGGTTGAGAGTCCACCTGCCGATGCGGGGGCCCCGGTCCGGGAGGATCCCACATGCCGCGGAGCGGCTGGGACCGTGAGCTGTGGCCACTGAGCCTGCGTGTCCGGAGCCTGTGCTCTGCAACGGGAGAGGCCACAACAGTGAGAGGCCCGCGTACCGCAAAAAACAAAACAAACAAAAAACACTTTGGGAGCAAAGGTGTAAGGGGACCGTCCAGTTTCTGCTCCAGTGGGGAGAGTGCTCCGAAGTCCTTTGCTTCCACTTGCATTGGCCTTGGTTTCGACACGTCTACCAGATCTATCTTTCCTCCTAATAACCACTCCTTTTAGCTTTCTCTTCTATTCTCAACATGGTTTTCAGAGCACCCCAGACTTGCTGCCCAGGTTTAAACTAATGTGTCCAGAACAAAATACTCTGCTCCCTTGTTCACACAGCTGAGAGTCACATTAGCCCTAAAGAACTAAGATGCAGTTGTGCCCTCAGAAGTCACACCGCAGGTCTCCTGAAGGTAGCACCCACGTAGACAAGCACCCCAGAGCATCCTACCCCAGATGGGAACCCACCGTGGACACACACTGAACTTCCCAGAGGCGTACATCCTGGCACATCTAGGGCCCAGGTGTGCAACTTGAACTCAGGGTCCCGGGCAGCAGAGGCCGTGACAAGCCAGCAGTGCGGCACTTCCCCACAAACCACTCTAGACCTCTCACCAAGGCCTTCGGATTCCTAAACATCCTCCGCCACTGCGCCCTGTCTTGTCACTCACCTGGCCTCCAGCCCAAGCAAAAGCTTCAGTGGCTCCCTTCGTCAAGTTTGCGCCCAGATGTGTCTGCAGATACTGAAGGGCTGTCAACAGACACAGGCACTGGCACCTCCTGCCCTGCACACCCACCACGTAATACTGAGAACCTTTCTCCTCTCAAGTAGTTTGGAAATCACTTAATTTGTGATGAGTCCCCTCTTATCTCATCAGTGTCTTGATGAAGATTCCAGAGTATCTGATCTCATGCCAAGTGACAAGCCCAAAGGGAAATGTTACAAGACGCAGAACCAGAGAAAGAAAAGTAACCAAACATAAAGGAAAAGCATCAAATTTCAACTAGGACATAAAGGTCCCTACATTTTTTTTTTCTTTTTGCCTCTCACTGTCGTGGCCTCTCCCATTGCGGAGCCCAGGCTCCGGACGCGCAGGCTCAGCGGCCACGGCTCACGGGCCCAGCCGCTCCGCGGCACGTGGGATCCTCCCGGACCGGGGCACGAACCCGCATCCCCTGCATCGGCAGGCGGACTCTCACCCACTGTGCCACCAGGGAAGCCCAACATTTTTAATCAAAATTTATTTTCTGTCCTCCTAGTTTGAGATCAACAATCAGAAAATCCAACAGGAATACTTTAAAAATTTCATAAGTAAACTTTAATAAGTAAAAATTACAACCTTCTCCCAGCAATGAAACTAATTGAGGATTAAAACAAAGAATGGAGACATGGTTTTCTGGGGATTCTCTCACAAACAGCCAGGTGGATTTAGGTGCCTGAAGTGGTGCCTATATACACAAGCAGTGAAGAAGTGACTGGAAATAACTCATGAGATGGAACGACAGAGCCCTTGGCCAGGCCTCCATCTAGAAGGGAAATACGGGGCGACAGAGGAGACTGACACTAGAGTCCTCACAGGGCGCTGGAAAAATGATTACCCCTCAATTAATAACATGATTCAGTTATATTTTTTTTTACTTGCCCTATACCATTTTGCTGAGCAGACTTTTAATTTTTATAAACTTTTTTGATGAGGGAAGGGGGAAGCAAACTAGGAGAGGCCCATGATGTGAAAACGGCCCCCAGGAAACAGCTGCGGATGCTCACCGGGCAGTGCCGGGTCTGAAGGGGAGACACCCGCCCCCTTCACCGGTGTCCTTAAAACAGGACAAGATGGGATGACCGCGCCAGGGGACGTCAGCAAGGTCGCAGCAGCTGCTCCAACGCGCCGGACTCTCCGCCCTTTCCGGGATCCCAGGTTCATTCCCTCACGAACAAATGTAGTTACGTTTTCTCAATAAGGCTTTAATTCCTCCTCCCACCCGGGCGCAGTGCTTCAAGTGGCGCCCGCTCGTCAGCAAAGATCTTCCGCTTTCACTTTCCTCTTCTTCTTCTTCTTTTTGGCGGCGTCACTGTCCTGGGGGAAGAGAACGCAAGCGTCTGTTGAGCACTGCCACTCTCCCCAGAGGCAATCAGGATCCGTAAGGATATCCTGCAATACGTAAATTTTGCACGTAACACAAATCCCGCGTTTCCCAAGGACGCCCCTGCATTTAGATCCCCCAGCTCTGCACCCTCCCCACCCACCATCAACACAACGCTAACTCCGAGCCGTTACCATAAAAAAGCTGGGCCCGGCCCCATCCTTCCCACAGGGCAGCTCCCCAAGTAACCAAGCCGGCACCAGTGGGCAATTCCTTCCCCTTCAAGGACAAAGAGCGCCCCGCCGGGCCCTGGACGTGTTTGCACACACCCCATCTCCCGGCTCGGCCACACCCTCCAGAGCAGCTTTGGCCTTCTTGTCTTTCTTCTTCTTCTTTTCCTTCCTGACCAACTGGGGAGCCACGGGAGAGGGTTCATCACTTTCACTCTCTCGCTTCCGCTAAGGTGGAGGCAATTGATCAAATGTTACGATCTTGGGCAAATGTGGATGAGAAAGTTTCAGTAAGTCAAAAGGGGAGGAGCCAGCAGGGAAGATGCTGATTGGCTCCAACAGGAAGTTTTCAAAGACCCCAACAGGGCCTTGTTTACCAAGGGTTCAAAGACCAGGAAGCCAGGGGCACAGCAGGAGCGCCAGGGCAGCAACACAGGGCCGGGCCAGAAAGGCCACGTCCTCACTGAAGCCGAAGGCAGGACCGCATGCCCCCCAGGGGCGCTCCCACGAGTGCTCAGAGAAGACAGGCAAGCGCAGGCCCCAAGCAGGGCACAAGCAGCTCTTCTCAGGACACTCTGTGCCACCCGAGGTACAGACAAGCCATCCTGCAGTCTAACACCAACAGCCCGCAGCCCCCAAGCAGAGCAGCCACCGCGTGCTTCCCACGGACGGTCGCCACACTGAGCTGGTGCCGTGCAGAGGGGGGTTTGTCTGGTCCCGAGCGTCACGGCCTCTGCTTCAACACGCCTGTGCCGCCCCTGTGACCCAACCCCGTCCCAGGGTCATGGCCTCAGCTGAGCCCACACCCCTGCCAGCAGACACAACAGGGAACGTGAACTGGAGCCTGCAGAGCCCGAGGCGGGCAGGAAGGCCCACCCCGCTGAGCCAGCACGTGTGGCTGGACGGCACATGGCGAAGCCCTCAGAGCACGCCACTCACTCACCTTTGGGGCTTTGACTGCTTCGGCAACTACCTGGGGGGCTTTGACGTCTTTCCTGGCAGAATCGCTGAAAGAGGAGCGACAGGTGAGAGTCGTTCCCAGCGGATCCGGCAAGCCTAAGGCCACCATCAACATCCTGACGCTGGACAGAACAACTCACCACTTGCTGTCGCAGCCTGACTCCTGCTGGAGTGCCACGAGCCAGACTAGAAAGGGTTAACTGTCTGTCGTGCTGCCCAACGCCCTAAGCGGCTACTCCACACGCCCCAAGGCCAGTCCCCTCAGGTCCTACAGGTTTCCCCCAAACTAAATCCACCCCTTTCCCACGTCTGGGCTCCCCGCCTTCCCCTCCTCCCCTGCGGTCACTATAGCACTGCAGCCAGCGTGCCCTCTGCCCACCACACGGCTGGGAAACATCCCGCCCTTACCTGTAGTCCACGTACTCCTGTGTCCAGGAGGCAGGCGTGTTGTCCGTGGGCTTGCCGTGCTTGTCCAAAAGGCCCTGCTTGATCATCAGCCTCTTCTGACTTGCCTGGTGGACCGTCAGGGTTTCAACGTTAGAACAGTGTCAACACATAAAGCATGTACCACACCACACACACACAGCAAATAAGGTGCCCCCCTTGGGTGTTCTCAGCAGAGTGCTCCAAACTCACCCTCCCTCTAATAGGAGCAAACATGGGACTTATCAAAGCTTGCAAAACTTTTTGTACCAGTGGGAGCCTCTGCAGTGTCATTTTGACCACAGGGCCTTTGCACATGCTATTCCATCGGCCCTGGACTCTTCCCTCCCCGCTTCACCTCAACATATAACACTACGTACCTCACACTGGCATGGCTCAAGATCCCTCACCCCGACGCCCCGACCAGGCCAAAGCCTTCATCGTGGACTGTTGATTGACGTGTTAGGCACCTCTCCACACCCCTTCATAAGGCCCTCACCACACCACTGTGCAATTTGAGCATTGCCTACCTACTGTCCCCCTTAGACTGAAATCTCTAAGGTCTGAGACAGGCCCGTTTCTACTTACCACTGACTCCCCAGAGCCCAGCATGAGGCAAGGACGTGGCAGTGGACACACACTGGGAGCTGCCCGAGTGAGGATTCAACAAGGCACAACAGAATAAGGCAGCAGGGCACACGCCTAGTCCCACTTACTTTTGGACCTAAACCCCACTTCCGAGGGTAAGTGTCTCTCTCCATGATCACTCTCTTGATCTTGGCTACGATACCATGGTCACAGGTGGAGATCACTGCCGTGGTCATTAATGCAATAGCTGCAGGCGTTGGAAAGGGATAAATGAACGATTTGAAGGGGAAAGACTTCATAATCAATGAGCCCGAATGCCACTGTTTTACACAACTTTTAAAAACCTATTTAAAACTCTTAGGTTTCCTTTGAGGTTTCCTTTGCTGAGTGTTGCATATGGAGGAAATCCACCATTAGGGGAAGAAAGCCTGTGAAATCACGTTACTTATCGAGTTCAAAAAATACTGAAACTAATCATACTCATAAAAATCAATGCTTCCTAGGTCCTCAGAAGGGACCTCTTAATAAGTAAATCACAGCTATTTGTTTAACCTGTGTAATCTGCACAAGAAATAAAGCATGTCATCAGGATTCCTTTCCAGCTGTGAGCAAGCAGCCAGAGGGGAAGGGACACCTCAATAAGGAACCCCAAAGACACGTGTGTCCTGCCTGGAGCTCAGGCCACACACAGGGACAACCCGACAGTAGCTAAACTTTCACAAGGTAGTGCTGCCCCTAGCAGACAAGGGGTGGACTGAAGGCTCTTTAATTACCACAGCCATTCGCCCCCCACTTCGCTGATGATTTCCTCTTTTCACTGGAGAGCCGAGGAGAGCCCAACCGCTGAGACACAGCTCCTAACAGCAGCCAGTGGGGCAAGAGGAAACCCCACTTACCTCCTTGCTGCCTATGCCTGTCTGACATGGCCCTTTGCTGTGAGCACACCGACAGACCCCAAGTGACACAGTGATCAGATGAGCCCGAGGGGCCAGGCCCGGGGGACCCCGTTAGTGAGCCTGGCTGCAGCGGCACAGGAGGGCCAAGGGTGCCTTCGCCTCTTACCCATGCAGACAGCTTCCCCTTTGGTGGTGATGACCGCCACCTCCTGGTTGACCTCGATCCCGTCCTCGTACCGGAGGACGCCTGGGAGCATGATCTTCGCGCCATAGCAGATGGCGTTCACCTGCGGGGTGGTGTCCCTGGTGAGCGCCGCGGCCCCAGGCGGCCGCCGCCCTGCACCCCACCCCCACCCGTGACAGAGGACCAATGACACCCACGGCCACTGGCCGTGGTCTAGCTTATGAAGGGACTCAGGCTCACGGCAACCACCCAGCATGGGCCAGGCGCTTCACGCATGTCGACTCAGAAATGTTAGCGGGGGCCGTAAATAGCCACTCCTACCCACAGCACTTAGAGCTGCCTTCGTACTAAACCAAAACCCAGCCTCAGTCTTCCTTAATTGCTCTTCTCTATGCCTCTAATCATTAAGGGAAAAACCTCTGACAGAGCTGGGAGGTGTATCAGATTTATTGGGAAATCTGGATAATAACAGGTTCCCAAAGTTAACTCACAAGCAAGACTGCCGAGGCCAACTCTCCCGAGTTCGACAGCACCATGCGTCCAACCCGCCTCGTGCCACCTTGTCTTCACTCACCATATTCCACCCTCCCTTGAAATGCACCCGGAAGCGACCAGTTTGACCCCAGCGCAACGGGGGATCACGTTTATGTCGTTCTGTGTTACGTGATTACGTTTTTTCAGTCGCTATAGGGGCATGTTTTGGTCTATGCCTCATTAGTTTTTCTGTCTTTTATTACAAACTATAACATCTATACAGTCATCAAACATCTATATAATTTAAGATCTAAATATGAACGAGCAAGCTCAAGTTATTAAATATATACAAAAATTTATATCTTTAAAAGTTAGAAAAAATTTTTATTGCTACTTGTTTAACAATAATTGATTACGCACTAGGCCACAAAGCATCTTAACTTACAGAAGGCCGTATTCTCTGACCATAATACCATTAAAAATAAGGCTACTTACAATTCTGGACTACTCAACCTTAAATAACTACTAAAGAGGAAACCCAAAGCAACACAAATAATTGCAGATTTCCTTTCATCATTAAGATTACTCTCTCTAAGGTTATTTAGTAAGTATACTAAGAAAAAAAGCTTGATAATCTCTGTGGCGTTTAGGTTTTATGGCCTCAAACTAGGATTTATTTAAACAAAACAAAGCCTCTAATGGAGAACTAACTTATCGTATCTCTGAAACCCTCTAGTCTCAACCTTTTACCCCCATCAAAACAACGTTTTCTAGCAATAATTTAAATAAACCAAGGTGTCTTAGGCACATGCAGAACTACCAGTTTACAAGAGGGCAAAGTTTATGTACCACTGATAGTCTATTTCTTGAACCAAGTTACTTACTTTTAAAGTATTTGCCTTATTTCGAAATGAAATTACTCCTAGCATTAAACTTCTATTTTAATTTATATTTGTTTTTGATTTAATAAAAAGTTAATCATAAATGCTTCCAAGAACAAAAAAACAAATAAATGAATCCAGTGTCCAATCTACGAAACCAGAAAATAAACCAAAGGAAAATAATAGCTACAAGTTCACAAAGCCCAATTTCATCTCTTTAAATAGAATGAAGTGTTCAGAACACAGACCATATCTCATCTCTCGAGGTCACATTTTGTCCAAACAGAACTTACCGCACTGTCTTTCATGACCAGCCGTTTATGAGATGTCAATAGCTTTTCCAAAGGGTAAACAACTCGCCGCAGGTAACTCTCATCTTTGTGGTTGTCATACAGCCACTGGGCATCCAGCACATCGTGCATCGTCACCATGTGGTCCTGGAAAGTAGCCACATATGAAACTTACTTGAGTGCCATTGTATCCCCAACAGGCAAATGGACCTCACACTTGCAAACATGGAATGAATTTAGTCCCGTCTGCTAGTCCAAGCTCATTAGTCTTCGGTCTCTTCGGAGTCAACTCTTTACCTGTTTGTCTATCAAATCTAAGCAGGCATATCTGTAGGCTAGGAGGTAAATGAATAGAGTAATGCTATCCATCCAGTCACCCCCCCGCCAGCCTGTGCTTCAATGTCCCAAAGTTTAATTAACAGAACAGGGAAGCTGCCCTGAACTGAACTCAACACTTTGGAAACTGCCTTTTCTTGGATGTGAGGCAGGTAGAGTTCCACCAAGGGCTGGAGGACCCAAGTACCAGCCGGCTCTAAAACTCTTAGCCCCGCGATGACGTACCTTTTCGCTCATGACTCCGGAACGAACACGCCGGAGTTCCTGCATCTGACCACCAACTCCCAATAACAAACCAAGGTGTACACACAGCGTCCGAATGTAAGTGCCGGCCTCACAACTCACCCAGAAGATTCCTAAGACACATGCAAAAGTAGTACATATTTTCCCAAGTAAACACATCACTGGTTGAGAAACCCAGTTATTCTCTATCTGCACCAGCAAAACTAGAGACAACGGACACAGGCCACGACTACACCACATACTAAAGGCATCTACTTTTAAGAGACTAATTCTCAAGAATTCATTCCTACGCACGTGTGCTCTACGTCAGCTCAGTGCCTCACAGGCCTAAGGACCCACCTAATCTCCTTTCAGGATCATACTCGATCATCTTGCTGTCATAGATGGTCCGCACTCGGAGCTGCCTCTTTACTGCAGCGATGAGCGGGGGTCGCTGGAACAAGGCACCTGTCAAGGTCTCTAGGGCCTGAGAATAAGCACAAACCAAAACTCAAGTAAGATCAAAGGGCAGATTTGGGGAGTTTAAGGGCACACTTGAAACACAAAAGGTCTCTTTCAATCATTTAGGATCTAAAAGGGCCTTTCAATTTTTGATTCTTTCTTCAACTACATAGGGATGGCTCAGTGCTGAGCAGAAGCCTCTCCTCAGAAAGGACATGAGCAGGTTGGCCACGGCAGCCCACTGACAAGGGCAAGGGCCTCAGAGACCCCAGTTGCTAACAGGTGCCTTCCCTACAATTACAGACTTACCCTAGAAAGCTGAGTCCCCCCTTCGATAGCATTGTGCAGCCGGACAATTCCCACATACTCTTTGCCTGTAAAATGACAAAAGAGTAGTCAGGTGTGGCCACTGAGTTTTCTGTATTTTCTATATGCTTATATCACTCCCATTTTGTACAGCCAGAAAAAGCAGGCAATCTGAACTCCTGTTTCTGTAAAATTTGCATGAAGACAGATTTCATGGTGCAGATGTGGGAAAGGAATGAAGACACTATCTCATCGAGAGCTCAACTTTCAACGTGCTGACACGGACAGCCGGAGCCCCCGTGGAGAGCCTGCCTGGAGATCACCTTAGAAGGTCAAGTAGAATTCTCCCCAATGCCAATGAAGGAGAGGCACTTTAGGCAAAAGCAGCAGGGCGGTTAGAGGAGCATGGAGTGACAGGCCTGGAGCTGGGCTCAACGTGTGCATAAAAAGCACCTAGAACTCCAAACAAGGCAGCCCCACCAGGGTCTGGCTGAGGACAGAAGGCACATACACACCAAGAATATCCCTTGCTTCTGTTTTCTGTTTTTGTTTTATGATTTTACTAATGAAGAAATCATTTCCGAGAGCCACAATGTAGAAAGGAAAGGAAACACAGAAAGCCTTCCAATCTCAAAGTAGCCCCATCTTCCCTCCCTCTCCCACGTACCTGCACTCTGCTGGGATTTCACCAAGCGAGTGGCTCGTTCAATGCACACTATTAAACAACCAGTCACCTTGGGATCCAGGGTACCACTGTGTCCTGTCTTCTCTACCCGGAGTATTCGCCGGATCCAGGCTACCACCTCGTGGGAAGAGGGGTTGGAAGGCTTGTCAAGATTAATGAAACCTGTCCTAGGATGGGAAAGAAATTACAGTGTCATCGGCTCCGGTCCTCTAATGAAAACTAAATCTCAAGAGTAAAGAAGAAGAGTTTACCACGGGTACAGGGTATCATATTTAGGGCAACGCCGCTGCTACCTCCACGAATAACTGATGTGAAAGCGTCATTTTGAAAAGCACAGAAGTTTGGACAGTGCTGTTTCCAACACACTTACCTGATATAGTCCCCAATCTCCCTCTTCAGAGGATTTGAACCACAAGGAAGAGGTGTATAATGTGTTGTCCTTACATTTAGCTTATCAAAATTCTAGAAAGCAATGATACAACACAAAACAAACAATAAATCATTAACACGTGGGGAACAAGAGTCAGGACCGCCGTGAACCATGATATGGTGACGCTTCAGGCTGTTTCAGATCTTACTCCTATGTTTCCATTATGTGCTGTGACAGACTGCTAAGCCTCCCCACATGCTGGAAAAGTTACCTATATGAGTAAGAACATGACAAATTTGATCCCTCCTCCAGAAAGACCTCTTGGGGTACTACAGGACAAACTGGGCTTCACTGTGCAGGCTTATGAGTAAAATATGGACTAGCTTTGATTTTCTCCGGGACCAAATGGAGGGGGACTGGCAACACGGCTCCGCACACCTGACCGTCCTGCGCCTGCCCCAGGCACTCCTACCCCACTTTCCTCATGTCTGCCCCTTCTCACTCTCCTTTCCAGGGCTCCACCACCAGCCTGAAAGGGCTCCCGTCAATGGAAGCCCCTTAGCTTCATCTTGGTACTTTTCACAGGCAGCAATGACTTTTTTAACTGTATCTCCCACCCCTAGATTTTAAGTTCCATGACAGTAGGGACATTGCCAACTTGGTTTACCAGCAGGTAAAAATAGAGAACCAGATGCTGTCTAAATGGCAGACACATCTGGCCAAGCAGAAACTCAACTGTATTGAATTCTATATGCAAATCTCTTTTACCTCATATTTAGTGATTTATTCAAACGTCTGTCAAGGAGTCTTTCAATAAATTTACCTCCTAATCTCGTAGCTGGCGGCCATTATGTCATTTGTGAACCTTGTAATTTAACTCATTACCGAAGTGCCCTAGTTAAAACCCAACGTGATAGCCAGTAACTTCTAGGGAGCTAGTTAACATGCCAGGCTCTGGCCGTATGCTCTCAAGCATGTTCTACTCCACAAACCAGTACAGGTCTGTAAGGTGAGGCTAAGTACAGAACTTGAGAACTAATTATTTATAAAATGTGATAGCAGTGTGACACTGTTGTGAAATTTACCTGTATTCTACAAGTGTTGGGTACATTGGAAATGAAGGGGGAAAAAACCCAAACAAACCCTGGTCCTTCATCTCAGACACCTTGAGGAACAGTGTTTTAGGCGGCCTCATCTAGCATTTCCTAAGTGCAGGATGCACTCTCAATCAACTGTTTAATACTCAAAAACAATGTAAAAGCCAAGCATTGACCTGATGCGAAACACATACCTTTAGCAACAGGGGCCACTGAGATGTGTCCAACTGAGCCACTTTGGATTCAGGTTTGATGAGAAATTCTTCAGCGTGTTGTATTTCCTTCCACAGGGCAGAAACACAGCCTGTTAGACTTCCCACCTGACTTTGAACAGTTCCACTACTACCACAGAAGTCTATACCTTTGAAATAAAAAACAGGTAGTCTATGCCTTTTCCCTGGGACCTCCAAAGGAAAAAGAAATGAACAAAGAACTGAGAAGCGTAAGTGAAGTGCCACCAAGACGGGCACAGCAATTTTAAGAGAAAGAGGGATAGTGGGTCTGATAAGAGAATTTCAGGGAGAGCACTTGGTGTGGCCAGCAACATTTAGCAGGGTGTGCCTGACAGCAAAGACCCAGGTTGGCGGGCGTTGTGTACTTTCTACACAACCACCACTCAATTACAGCCCATTCCTCCAAAGCCTTTAAAAACAGTTCTTTTCTGTAATCTGTCAGCTAAGAAACCTTTCTTTTCAGTCAAAGCAAAGTACAACATATTCGTACTCACTGCTACATCTTCTTCTGCTAAGGATTTCCGCTCCTTTTTCTTCTTATGCTTCTTCGGTAAAATAAGTACTTAAAAAAACCACACACACAAGAATTAGGAGTTTTCCCCGAAAATAAAGACAATGAAGTTTAAAACAAGGGTAGGCAGAAAACGGATGCTTGTCTAGGATCACAGGGGAAGCCGCCGGTGTCAGGCCGAGCGCGCGGGGTGCACGGCGGGCTCCCGACAGCAGCCGCACGTGTCGCCCTCCATCCCGGCTCACCACGTGGCCGCGCGGGGCTGAAACGCCCACTGCGCTCTGGCCGCGGGCCCGTAAGTTCCGTAAGCGACCGCCCAACGGTCCCCGAGGGCTGGTGGCCCCTAGAACTTTTTTTTCGACTTAGCGCTCCGCGCACGCCCGAGCCCCTCGGCCCCTTTGCTTCCCCTCATCGCGTGGCGCTGACCGCGGCGTCCGAGCTGGCGGCGGTGGCCCGGGCCCTGAGGGGACTGTACCGTCGGCGGGAGGCCCGGGCTGGTGGCGTCACGTCACCGCGGGGGCCTCTCGCTCTCTCGCCCTCACCCGTGGAGCCAAGGCCAAGCGACAAGGTCGGCAGGAGGCCTGGCAGCTGGAGCTAGCGGAAAGCTCAGGCCTCGAAGTTGTCCCCCCACCCCCGGCTCCCCCAGCCGGAGGATCTGGCCCCGGCCCACGGCAACCCGCCCAGCCACCCGCGATAGAACCACCCGCACCTTCCGCGTCCGCCATGTTGCCCCGCTGAGCTTGTGAGCCGCGTGGGCTAGCGCCGAGGAAGCTACCGCAGACTCCCGCCGCCGTCAGGCCGCGCCGCTAGGGCCCGCCCACCTGTGTGCACCGCCCCGTGCGTGTCGCGCAGCGGGGCGGGGCGAGGCGGGGCCGGGCTCACGGGGCAGAGCCCCAAGCGCGCGCGGGACGGCTGCACGCTCTCATTGGTGGACACGGCCGGGACGCTGGCGCGTCCGCGCGTGCGCCTTGGGCCTCTCCCCGCCTTCGGCAGCCAGGTCTAGGAGCGCCTGCGCAGCTCTCCGGGGCGGCTTGTAGTCTGTGGGCATGGCCCGGCAGCGGTTCACTCTCCTTTGTTGAGGTTTTACCCGGACGGGAGCACATGGGCACCCGCCTGAGCGCTCCTTGCTTCCTCGCCGACCCTTGAAGGTGGCTGTCGGATCAGTCCCGATGGCAAAATGAAGACGTTGAGGCACATAGCGTCCTTTGCCGCTTGTAATTCCCATCCAGCTAGAGTGGCACTGGCGATAGAAACAAGAGTGCGAGCCACTTGTGGACTTTTAAATTCTCCAGCAGCCATTTAGAAAAGAAAGTACGTTAAAAGTTAAATCGATTTTAATAACAAACTTCATTTAACGCAGCGGTCCACAATATTATCATTTCAACATATAAGCAATACACAGCATTGTGAATGGCATATTTTACGCTCTTTTTGTGTTTTTTGTCTGTACCAAGTCTTTCCAGTGTGCGCTTTATGGTTACAGCACAGCTCGATTTCAGCTCCACGACGGGGCTCCACGTGAACTGCTGGACAGTCAAAGCGGGTTTGTGGCTGCGGTACTGAACGGCCAAGCAAGTAGCGGCTCCAGGTTCAAGCCTTCTTCCCTCCTGTAGTAATAATATTGATGCTCTAACTTGATTTTTTATACATAGCCAAAGTTCTCAATATCAACCAATCCACGAGCAGTTACACTCCCCATCCCAAAATTTTATAATGCTCCGTTGGTATATATTTGGCCAAATTTCAGGTACTCACTAATGGTTCTCCAACACTCCTCATCTGATCTGTTAGCAAATCCTCTCGGCTTTGCTTTCAAAAGATCCAGAATCTGGTAGTTTTTCACCACCCTCAATACTGTCACTGGAGTCCATGTCATCACCATGGCTCTCCTACATTTTTCCACTCGCCTCCTGCACTTCCCCCCTCTTTCTGTTTTTTCCAACTATATTGTCTTCTCAACACAGCCCCTGGAAAGAGCCATTAAATTGTGTCAGGCCATGTCCCTCCTCTGCTCAAAGCCCTTCAGTGGCTTCACATCTATAGTGGGATGAAGACTGGCCTCCCACTTTGGACCTAACCCCTGGACCCTATGAAAACGAACTTACTTGAGAAAAGGGTCTTTGTAGAGGTACTGAAGTTAAGGATCTACAGATGAGGCCATCCTGGGTGACGCAGGTGGGCCCCAAATCCAACGACAAGTATCCTTAGAGGAGAAGAAGGACGCAGAAGAGGGCAAGACCGTGTAAAGATGGCAAGAATGTTTTATCCCCAAGGGCCTTCAGGGTGATGAATCATGGAATCCTGTTAAAAGGCCACCTGTAGTAGACCACCACCAACAAAACTCTAGATCTGGTGAACAGCCTGCCTTGAATCACCATGATGGAAAATCATGGCCCCTCATCTAATTCCCGGACCCCATCAATTCACAGACTCATCCCTCAAGCGAAGGTGAGGCCAGGTACACATAACACAACTGTGTACTTTAAAGCTCCCTCCAACTTTCCACTGTGGTCCACTGATCGGAAATGGAGTCTTTAGGCTGCGGCTTTCTCCCTGTGGACCCCCTGTGGCTCTTTCCCCAGTTCCTGATCGCATAATTGGCAGCTGGATGAATTCCCACAGAGGCTTCCTGACTAAAGGACTGAGCACAATTATGGAAAGAGGGTCAAAAGAAAGCACCCGTCACTGTCCCTTCAATTACCGGGCACATTTTTACCATAATGAAGTCCCGGGGCATTGACGTGATCATCTCATTGTCCCCCAAACCATCATACTGGTCTGCCACGTTAATGATGTCACGCTGACTGGACCTAGTGCACGGGCAGTAGCAAATTTTTCACCACAGAGTGAAAGATAAGCCCCATAAAAATTCAGGGGCCCAAAACTTTCATGAAGTTTCTGGGCACCAGTGGACTGAAGCATATTGGCATTGTCCCTCCAAAGAGAAAAACAAGTTGCTGTACCTCAAACCCACTGTCATGAAGAAAGTACGATGCTTGGTGGGCCCCTCTCTGGGAGTGGCATACCCCATGTGGATACTTTTATACCTTTGTCAAAAACCAGTTGGGTAAATTTATGTGAGTCTATTTCTGGGTTCTCTACTCCGTTCCATTTATCTATGTGTTTATTCCTCTACCAATATTACGCAATCTTGATCACTGTAGTTATATAATGAGCCTTGAAATTGTGTACAGAGATTTATGTGTTGATCTTGTATCCTGCAACCCTGTAAAGCTCACTTATTAGTTATGGGAATTTTTCATGTAGATTCCTTCAGATTTTCTATGAAGACAATGATATCATCTGCAAATGAAGACACTTTTAATTCTTCTTCCCAGTCTGTGTGCCTTTTGTTTCTTTCGTTCTTTTTCTTTTTTTTCCTTATTGCACTGGCTAGAACTTCCAACACTACATTAAATAAGAGTAGTGAGAGCACATAGCCTTGCCTTGTTCCCAACCATTAGGGGAAAGTGCCCAGTTTTTCACCATTTAAGTATGAAGTTAGTCATATGATGTTAGTCATATGTCTTCCATAGATGTTCTTTAACAAGTTGAGGAAATTCCCCCCTATTCCTAGTTTTGTGAGAGTTTTTGTCATGAATTGATATTGGGTTTGGCAAATGTTTGTTCTGCATCAATTGATATAATCATGTGACTTTTCCTCTTTTGCTTGTCAATATGGTGGATATCACTGATTTTCATATACTGAATGAGCCTTGCATCTCTGGGATAAAGCCCACCTGGTCATGGTGTATAATTCTCTTTGTAGATTTTACTTGTGAATTTTACATTATTGGCCTTTCACACACATGTATAGCTATCTCCTCATGTGTGTCCCTCATCCAGAGATTGGAGAAGAATTTTCTTTTCAAATTTTCTCTCTTTTCACAGAGAATAAGTTAGATGCATGGTCACTTTGCCCCACATAACATAATTAAAATAGAAACTCTTCCTTAATAGTGGACATTTATTTTCATAAATCCTCCTAGTTACAAGATTTACAGTACTTAAAGAACTGCCAAACTAAACCTTTTTTGTTTTGGTTGGGGAGCCTTGCTCTTTTATGTTTTTTAAAAAAATGTTATTTATTCATTTATTTTTTTTTTTATTTTTTTTTTTCTTGCGTTATGCGGGCCTCTCACTGTCGTGGCCTCTCCCATTTGCGGAGCACAGGCTCCGGACGCGCAGGCCCAGCGGCCATGGCTCACGGGCCCAGCCGCTCCGCGGCATGTGGGATCCTCCCGAAACGGGGCACGAACCCGCGTCTCCTGCATCGGCAGGTGGACTCTCAAGCACTGCGCCACCAGGGAAGCCCTATTCATTTATTTTATTGAAGTATAGTTGATTTACAATATCGTGTTAGTTTCAGATGTACAGCACAGTGATTCAGTTGTATATATATATATATATATATATATATATATATATAT